GCAACTCACTCAAGGCCCAAGTTAGTGACGCCTTAAGCCAGCCCATTCATACAAATCTACCAAGGTTGTTAGCAAGAAAATACATAGGTATGTATGAGAAGATTGAATTGTGTAACAATTTTCTTTTGAAATTCGCGAAATTGGATTTCAATATTCTACAAAAGTTGCATCAAGGAGAGCTTGGCTAGCTTACAAGGTACATACATTAATCTTATATCCTCGTCATTTATGTATATATAGTAAATGTTGATTTCTGTTGAATTTTTTTGTGAGTTTACTTCGATTTTCATACTTTGAACATCCTTAATGAAAATTCTAACTTCATCTTTGATCATATATATAATAGGTGGTGGAATAATTTGGACTTCGCGAAGAAATTTCCATATGCAAGAGATAGAATGGTGGAGTGTTACTTTTGGGTAGCTGGTGTGTACATTGAACCTCAACATAGTCGTGCAAGAAAAATGATGACAAATTACTCACTACATATGTCATTATATTATTGATGACACATATGATGCTTATGCAACTTATGACAAACTTGTGGCTTTCACAGATGCAATCGATAGGTAAAATATAAACTTATGGATTTTTTCTCACGCTTTCAATGATGACTAGGGAAATAAAATGTGTCAAGTACTTGTTACTAATATGAAATGATTTGTATAAATAAGAAATTTTAGCTTGTGACTTCGATCCAAATCCTTAGCATGCAGATGTGATGACATTAGTGCCATTAATTCAGTATCACCCAATTTGAGACCTGTTTATTGAGCCCTTCTAGACCGTTATGATGAAATAGAAGAAGAATTGACCAAAGAAGGTAAACTGGAATGTCTCTACTATGCAAAACTAGAGGTAAACTTCCTTAGCTTTATTTCTTTTGAATCAAAACATTAACAGTGCCATATAATATACTTAATTAATTATGTCTTCAAAACGCTCATTAGATGTAAGATTTGATCAAGTATGTGAAAAATCTTCATAGCGGTGAGACTTGAACCATGATCTTTGTCTGTGCTACGATGCCATGAGAATTATATTGTGACTTGTGACCATCTCGTTCAAAAGTTCAATTTATTTTTTTAGTGAGAACACACTTTTATTTACTTAATTATGTCTTCAACAATCTCTGATTCGACAATTATCTTTTATTCCTTTATTAGATGAAAAAGTGGCTAGAGCATATCTCCAGGATGCACTATGGTTAAATGATGTCTATATTCCAAAATGCGAGGAGTACATGAAAGTTGCAATTGTAAGTACTACTGTTATGATGGCTGCAACAACTTTCTTGTGTGTTATGGAGGAAAATATTACCAAAGAGACATTTGAATGGGTGATAAATGAGCCTTTGATTCTTCGAGCTTCATCAGTAATCGGCAGATTAAAGGACGATATTAATACAAATGATGTAAGTGTTGAATAATAATTTTAAATAAATAGATATGTGTTTCGATAAAATTACTGAAATTTATAATATACAATTAGGTGGACCTCTATATATAAATATGCTTCTTTTCTGTTCCTTTTTATTTATATATATTTTCTTAATAGGGTCGAATTAGCCCACATGAGCGACCTCTGATCCAACTCCTGCATATTGATTTTTTTTTTGCTGCAGTTCGAACAACAAAGAAGCCATGTAGCTTCATTCATTGAATGCTACATGAAAGAATACGGAGTTTCAAAGCAAGAGGCATATGTTGAGGCTCGAAAGAAACTCACTACTGCATGGAAAGACATGAATGAGGAATTCCTCACCCCTTCCGAAGTACCATTGTTTGTTCTCGAACAAGTTATAAATTTTGCACGCTTGGCATATATATTCAAAGAGGGCGATTTTATAAATATCCGAAGCAAATTTAAGGACATGATTACCTTATTGTTTGTTGCGCCTGTCAAAGTTATGTTCGAGGATAAATGTTGAGTAAAACGTGACTCGATATCGAGTACATATATTGAAATAATTGGATGTACTTCTATATGTTAAGTTAAATGATACTCCCTTTGTCCCTAATTACTTGTCCACTTTTGAATTGGCAAACCTATTAAGAAAACAATCATTGATATAGTGAGTTTACCATTTTATCCCTATTAATTATGGAATGGATGAATTAAAAACTTAAAATTTTCAAGAAGTTCTATCTTTTTCAAAGTAATTAATTGAGGTTATAATGGGTAAAAGTTTTTTTGTCCTTTTTTGATTTGTCAAAATGGACAAGTAATTAGGGACAACTAAAAAAGAAAATGTGGACAAGTAATTAGGGACAGAGAGAGTATAACTTAGATACTCCCTTTGTTCAAAAATAGTTGTCCACTATTGACTTGACACACCCTTTAAAAAACTATAAATAGAAGGTTAATTTTACTATATCACCCTTTGAATATAATAAATACAATGTCTTGAAAAATATAATAAGGAAATGACTATAATTAATGATAAGGGTAAATTAAGAACTAAGTATAAAATGGACAACTATTATTAAATATCTAATTTTAGTATAATGGACAAGTATTATTAAACGGAGGAAATATCTGGAGTTAATTGAATTCCAAAACAAATACGAGAGATATTGTTTATGGCAAGTTATTGGGAACTGATCTCCACACATGGTTGAGGACAAGAAAAGCTCTAGATTCAAGACATCTATCTCTAATTGAATAAATATATAACAATCAGATCCACAAACTATATTCGTCCAATAATAGTAGTCCATTATATTATTTTGAGATGTCCAACAATATTTATTAACGGTTTTCACTATTGGATTCTAAATTTCTTGGGGGAGGTTATGTGCTAATTTTATGAATAATTTTACACTTAGTTCCTCATTTACCCTTATCATTGATTATAGTTATTTCTATATTACATTTTTCAAGACATGAATTTATTATATTCAAATAGTGATATAGTACAATTACCCTTCTATTTATAGTTTTTTAAAAAGTGTGCAAAGTCAATAATGAACAAGTATTGTTGGACAGAGGGAGTACGATCTAACTACTAAAAAGTTTATCTTCAATTTTGGGGTAATTTTATTAAGAATGAGTATAATTTTACAATAGTGAACAAGTCTTGTTGGACAGAGGGAGTACGTCTATGTTAATGTATCTTTTGAGTATTAATTTTTTTTAGATTTTATAGATTACGATAGCCATCAGATAATATTTAAAAAAATCAACTAAGTTATATCGAAACTGAGGAGAAATCAAGACGATTGGAACGATTTTGAATTAATAGGTATATTATATTTCAAATCCAGATCTCATTTATCACCCACAAAGAAATATCTCATTAACTCACATTCAATTGATATATAGGTACATAATATTTTATTGAAGTAATTAATAGGTATATTATATTTTGTTGAAGCAATTAATAGGTACACAATATTTTATTTAAGCAATTAATAGATACTTAATATTTTATTCAGCAACAAGCTAAAAGTACAGGTATTTGCAGACTCTACACACAACACTTCAAGTAGATAATAATATTGTGTCTATTTTAATTTATTTATCTTATTTTTTATAGTCCATTTTAAAAAACGATTTATTCTTGTTTA